GTGCAAGGTATTCACTCTGGAAAGCTTTAATTTTCCCCAGTGAGTGACACATTTGTCTTCTGTCTGCAAATCTGGAGAATTTATTTAAATGTATGATTCCTCTTTCCTTTTCATAGAATTAATGTAAACAAGAATTAGGCACTGAAAGAAAGAGTAAAATCAAATTTGATAGAAGAGTCACAGTTGAGAGCTTAGTGAAAACCTGTCTTTTTCTTACAAATACAAGAAGATAAGAGTTATAGTATCTTCTACTTCTGTTTGGTCTGAATTTACCACTGTGAGGTACAGTATGTAGATCAAACTTTTGAAGCATCCTTTGGTTTTCTGAAGAGCTATATGTGAATTAGGAGGAGTTCATTCTGGTTAGTAAATTTTACATAAGTAAGTGGGATTTCTGTATTATTGTGCCTCAGGATGCACGCTGTTTGCCACGGAGATCAATTAACACGTCTTTCCCCCCGCTTCCCCTTTTTGATATGGGGTTGAAATGACAAACTAGTTTCTCTGAGTATGGGGTCATATGCATAGTAGGATTAAATTGTTCAATTAATGTACACATCAGACTAGTATGCTCCTGCTGAGTCTTGCTTGAGGCTTTACATTTTTTATGGTTATGAAGATGTTCTTTGAAAATTGACTTGAAATTAAGTCTACATATGTGTATGTTCCCTGTCACCAAAGCCTGGGGCTGGAGTGGAGGGTGGTCCATTGTAATCTTATTTTCTGTTAGGAATCCCAGCTCAGACTCAGTTCTGTTGTCACTTTTTCGTAAGAATCCCTTTATTTCAACACCTTGCCTCAACTGAGCATCTGTTTCTGCTGCTCAGTTCTTCCTGTTCTGTCTGGAGGCTGTTGTCAATATGTGTTTCTTGTAATGTGTGTGTTCCTAGATGGTTTGTTCATGGTGCCTATCTCATGCTGTCATCACAAAAGCAAATCCTTTTGTGTTGTGGTGAGAATTAAAAATTTTAACTAGATGGGTCTTTGAATATAGAAGTCATCTTGTCTTCAGAGAGAGGAGGTGCACAGTAGAGCTCTGAGTTAGTATGTTCTTACCAGTTTCCCCTAAAAGATGGGATGAGAGAGGCAAGAGAGACCCAATTAATTTTCCACTGAAATAAAAGAACACATTTGCTTTTTATAGGACACCAAAGTATTCAATGATAAGGAGCGCTCCTGACAACGTGGTTTCTGCAGTTTGTTCACTGTAGTCCTTAGTTCTTGTATACCTGGCTTAAATATAAGTTCTACAGGTTCCCCTGTCCCTCCCCACCCTGTAACCTCTATCAACGTTTCAAGGGCAGATGTGCCAGAGAAGAGATGGGAGGCTTAAAAGACAATTTTTGATAGGGTATTTAGATTTTGTAGTCTCTAAACTCCTTAGTTCCATCTGTTTCTTGCTTGATAGGACCTGATCTTTTAAGTAAAACTTTCCTACATGAGTACTTATATCTTCAGCTTTCATTCCTAAAAACTCAAAGATAAGATACTTTCCTAAGAGAGCTAAGGTGGCTTTGCCCCAGGAAAGAAAAAAAATGAAATAGCTTTAAAGACTGCTACTTGAAGTTCCATGTGTATCTACATTACTCTGAAAGATCATTATAATTAAGCCTGGAAACAACATATCTCCTGCTGTTGGTATTTTAAAAAGATTTTTCTCTAGAAATGAATAAACCAAACCCTGTTGAATCGATACATAAAAAGAGGGTCTATAATACATTTACCAAAGTGTCTTCCCCTCCTCATCCCCCCCTCCCCCCACCCCAATTGTCTTTGGATAGATCAAATTGTTTGACAGTAGAGTACAGTACATGATATCTAAGGCGTATGTAGGTCAATATGTTGCTTAGATATTCAAAGTTATTTTCACATGTGAGCAAATGCTAGCATTTCACATTAAACAGGAACTACGTTTGAAGCTAGCCCATGACTTGCATAATAAATGTAAAATACTGAAATTAAAGTGCTTAAGCTAGTCTGCCGCTAAATGTGCCCATGTATTGTTGTCTACTCTTTTTAAATAAACCAGCTGACATTATTCCTGTTGGAAGATCTTCCTGATAACTTTTTGAAAAATAACATTTGGTCATGTTCTGATTTTTTTTTTTTTTGACCAGGTTAATGTAAAGCAGTGAAGCATATAAACGTTGCTCTAGTTTCTAGTTACCATGTATGAGACAACAGATGGAAAGGCTTCGTAGAAGCTTCTTAAAGCTTTCTCTCATGCTAAATTTTTTTACTATTACCTTGTAGCTAGTTAAAATAAAGGGGTACTTAACAGTATTATTTTTTAATTCAGCTACTTAGAAAGATCTTACTTTAAGATGGGGAACTAACTACACAGAGGCAATACAGAGACCCACGTTGTGTTCAAACATAAACAATCCAGGGTGAGTAAAGGTGCAAGAAGACTCTTGCCATGATGGCTGTGCTGTGAGAGGAGGCAACCATCAGATGCACAGCAGTAGGAAGCTATTTCTGAAAACAGCTGGTTTTGGTTTAGATCGCCTGGGATGCAAGTCTGCCTTTGTGAATTTTATGAACTCTGCATGTTGATAAAGGTGTTTGCTGCTTTCCGAGAATGCTAAAATGTAGTTTTGATGCTAGAATTTGTAAAAACTTAATTAAATAAAATACACTGTCTAGCTGCATAAAACTTGAAAGACATTCTTGTGAAGCTTCATGTTGCTCCTAACAGTTTCTTCTTGATCATAAAGTGTATATAGGGTTTTTATTTTTTAATTTGATCATTCTAAGATAGGCAGAATTCTGAAAGAGTTACATAAGAAACAGCTTATTAACATGGACATACATAAGAAATGTCTTTATTATGCATGCCTTTGTCAACATCAAGTGCTGGAATTGCAACTGATAGTTGAGATGCATGCCTTGACCTGAAGGAAGCTTAATATTTTGACTCAGATTATTTATAAGAACAAAAGCACTAACCTGAGGTTGCTTAAAACAACTTACATAACTGTTAAACATGTAAAGAAAGTTATTATAACACTTGCAGTATTTATGTAGCACGTAATACATTACATAAATTGGCTAGAAACATCTGTCTACTACCGCAAATACTATAGTTTGCATGTCCACATTAGCAGTTCACGAATCTAACTGGGAATTGAGAAAACGTGAAACAAGGCAGTTGGCATCTGCAGCTGAACTAGTCAAGATATAGGACATACCTAGTCTGAGAATGATGTGGACTGTTTACAGGTTGATTTGGTGACTTTATGTAATGTGTGACTGCTAAGAGCACTTTATCTGTTATAAAGTAGAAGTAATTTTGGTTCAAAATCTGAAAGCATAAAGTGTCATTTTCCCTCCTACTCACAGTTTCACAGAAGATTCACTTTTTGAAAGCGAGAAGTGTGGTTAAAACATATTTTTTAAAAAATGCAGTCTTTTGACATACACTGCTGTAGTTAAAATGTGACACACAAGATGATTTAGTTGTTGAAAAGTCAGAAGAATGGCCAGAAAACTTTTTCTGGGAATGGAATTTTCTAGGAAGAATTGAAATTAGAAAGTAGGAGTTGAGAAATGCTGTTTGTTATGTTACTGTGCAATGTTTCATAATAGATTTCATTATAAAGCAATGAAGAAAGTTAAGGGTAAATTCCTGTGTGGGAGGAGGGGCATATCAGCTTTCTAATTCTCTTGATATATGCTACTATGCAACATGAAGAGTACTGCAGTACACAGTGGTTGTTCTAATGCTTTTCAGCTTATTGGAGATCTTGGCACAAGATTTTTTTTTAGTATAACTGTTTATGTGTCTGAACATGCATATCTGACTAAATTTTAAAGAATACAGTTAAAGCCAAGAAAAGTATAGGTTATTCACTACAAGATAAGAATATGTAGTCATATATTGGAAAACAGAGAAAGAATGACCATTTACCTTGCGATGGACATCATAACTGTGCCCAGTGGTGCCCCCTTTTGTGCTCACCTTAACCTGGCACATGTTCATCTCTGCAGGCTTGGGGCTAGTTGATGCAATCCCAGCTAAGGGCTGCTACACACGCCCAGATGTGCAAGAACTCTGTAATATGTGAACATACTGAACCCGGGTCTAACATAAAAAAAAATCTTTTTTTTTTCAACTTTATCTTAAATGCAATGGTTGAAGCACAATTATCAAATAAATTCTCATCACTCATCTCAATAAATTCGTGGGATAAGACAGCTGGGATGGTGGGATTTTCTGATTTTTTTTCAGGGGCACCATTGTTCACTCTTACTCAAGTTGCTGCAGTTCTCTCTATGAGTCTGCAGAGAGCCAAGAAAATCCCCACTGAGGGTACTGGGCACGCATTATATATTTCACATTGAAGGATGTACTTCCTGTTGCAGTGTGTTGTGGTACCAGGTTGGTGATAACATCTGCACCATCTACACTTAGTGCTGGAGGGCAATAAATCAGAAATCTGTTGTAAAGGACTGCTGGGGATAGACACACGTGTCCCCAAATTAAGAGCTGCCTTGGAAGCAAATTTTTGGTTAAAAAAAATTGTTTTGCAACTGTGTGTTCATTTTAAAAACAGTGACATCTGCCTATACAAGCATTGTAAAACTTGTGGTTGGTTAGGGTGTGTATGAGGGCTGAAAACTTCCTCTGAAAGAGAGATTAAATAAAAAGAGTAATGAATGAGTTGCTTTTATTGTATTTGGAAGATTATGCATACCTTATACATAGTTTATACTTGTTTGGTCTTTTCAAACTTTAATTAGTCATGAATCTTAAAAGGAATGTTCTGAGTGTGGATTTAAGTTGATTGTCATGATAGGGATTTGGATAGATCCTTTATTTCCACCTGTCAAACAACAACAAAAAAGTTCTTTTTCTGTTCTGCCCACTTGCTCTCAGTAGATGTAGCTGGCTGCCTAACATCTCTGAAGTTAATATAGTGGGGTTTCCCAGAGCTTTTGCTATTTATGCAAGCCTGTTTTGGTCAGTACTTACTTTTTTGTTTTTATTTTGTCAGCAGCCATGCAGCAGGTCCTGGATAACCTTACTGATCTGCCGACATCGACAGGCGCTGAAGAAATAGACCTGATTTTTCTTAAAGGAATTATGGAAAACCCTATTGTAAGGTCACTTGCTAAGGTATTTAAACTTGCTACACTGAGTAGAATCTATGAATATATGAACTCTTAAATTATTGTGTGAACATTGAGTATGAACTGAAGTATTAACAATAGCTTTTATGTACAGTATGTCTTATTAAAAGACTTGAAGGAGTTCTTGAAAGTGATGATTTGGTATAATGTAATTTCTGTGCACACTGATTTATTCTTATATGGAAGAATCTAGAGGAAGAAGAAAAATTCAGAGACTTCAGAAATAATGTGGTAAAATTCTTTACGAAGAAAATGTCAAAATACTTGAAATTGGAAGCAGTTGGTTTTAATTTAGTCTCGTGGCCGCTGTTGTGTGTAAAACCCATATGCTTCCTGACTTTTACCATTTTTGCTAAAGATGAAAAGCGAGAGCAATAACCCTCTTTCCCCCATGGCATAAACAAGTTTTCTTTCTGTCTTTCACTCAATACTGCTTTCTGATCAGCTCAATGGAATATTCTCTCCATGCCCTTTCCTGAATTTCAGGGTAATACAGGGATCTTTGATTGTCAGCTGTTTGAGACATGAGATCCCAAGTTTTGGTCTTGCATTATGAAAATTTTTTATTTATAGTTGGCACATATTTGTAAATATGTACGGTGATATTTACAAAAAGTCTTCGTACTCTGTAATTAAAATGTAGTAGGAAATGCAGTCAATATTGCACAGCACTCATTCTTCCTTAATCTTCATAAAAACAAACTCCTTTCAAGAGGAAAAAAAACAGTTAAATGTAGCTGTCTCTTTAATATGAATAGACATCTAAAAGCAATGCCCTCTGGGCAGGTATGAAATGCTCTGTAAAGCTAAAGGATTGTTGTGCAGGGATTTTGCTCAATATAAAAATCTGGAAAGGAAAACTTCTCAAAAGAATTCATGTAAGAATTTACTTCTGTTTAGCTGTTCAAAAAATTGGTTCTAAGTGGAAGACATTGTATAGTAATAAACTTAGAAGTAATGGATGTGTCTTATCTGCTAGTGTGATGACTGCAGAGGGAAAGATTTGTGTACTAAATTTACTAAAGTAAAAGCATTTTCTTGGAGTTGTTTCCACCTTCAGTATCTGCTGCATGCATCATCTTTAATTTAATATTATCATGAGGAAAATGTTCATTGCAAAGCATTTTTTTCTTATCAAGAATTTGTGCTTTAATGGCCAATTACAATTATGTGGATTTTAATGACTAGCAGATGTAAAAAAAGTGCTTGTATTGGAAACAGACTCTTAACTATAAACTTGCTTTGTCTAGAATGCTGAAAGGTTTTAATTGTGTTCACATGGCATGACTGCACTCATGTTTTCTTTTGTAATTATTTCAGAATTAAACCCAAAAACTCAGTCCTAGCCAGCAGAGCTAAATAAGGACAAGATCAAAACGACAACACATTTCATGAAGTATATGTAGTTCATCTATATCTATTTATCTCTAAAAATATATAAAACTTGTTTTTCTATTAGAAGACCTAGTTTTAACCGAATAGGCATTTCTCAGGAACCTGAGATGGTCAGAGTATTTGAGCAGATTCCTTTCAGACAAGTCCAGAAATGTAAAAGCTTTTTCATTTTCCTTTATTAGTCAGTTATTAAGACTAATTGTTATGTAAAGTATCCCAAAAAGGGCAAAAAGAAACTTAGGGAAATGTGGCATGAGCCATACAGCTTATTTTTTCTTTTCAGTCCTTAAAAAATTAAGTCAAGCAATAAGCATAGTATTAAGTTTATAATATTTTGCAATGCAAAGTTTGGCTAATTGCGTTAAGTTCATTTCTGTCTAGAATAAAAGCATCAAGGTAGAAATTACAGATCATTTTTTGGATAAAGTTTTTTTTTACTGTACCTTCCCATTCTTCAGCAGGCAGTAGGAGAAATGGGAAGTAACTGTAATCACTGTAAAATGCGTTTTCCTGTAATTTACTGATGTTTATGTTCAATCCTAACTAGCCTTTAGAATTGTTATGCTTTTTTGAGAACAGTTGTTGAATTTGGAAAATGCATGAATTTTATTCAGTTTTGCTACTGAACTGTCTTATCAAAATTATCTTCTCCTGGATTGTTGACTATTCTTTTGAATGTCACAACTTTATGCTTTTTTTTGCAGTCACTATTGCTTTTAGTATTGTATCACAGCCTACAGCACACCAGGTGAATGCCTAGTCCACAGCAAGGAAACACTTTAGGAGTAATCTATAAACATTAAGTCCAGTATTTAGGATGTTGGCTTGTTGGAAGCAAAAGCCTTACTTTTTGAACATTTGTCAAGTGTAATAAATACTGAATTGGGTCTTTGATTCATTCAGTATCACTATTTCTGAAATGATGAACTGAAATTAGAAAAAAATAATAATTGTAATGTCTGAGTTAGTCCTTTTTTTTCCCCTTTAAAAAAAAAAAAAAGATTATTCATACCACTCCATATCCTGCTGCTTCCCAACACATTACAGGATCAGAGGTTGTTGAGGGATAAACTTTTTGTTCCCTGGTATATACATGGCCTTGATTTTGGGGTGAGGGGTGAGAGTATTTGTGTTTAGGTTATACCCTGTGTTAGTGGTAGTATTTTAAAGAAAATGAGTGAGAAGGAAGGTAACCTGTATTCTCTAATCTTATAAAGGTTTTGCAGTTGGAGTATGTTTAAAAGTCAATAGATTTGTGTTTTTACTTGCTGTTAAAGACGTGAACTTTAAAAGAAGGATATGGTTTACTGTACCTATTATGCACAAAATAGCATTCCCTTATTAAGGAGAATGTGTGTAAGTACCAGGCCCCCTATGACTTTGTAATCATGGTCATTTGGTTTGTGCATGGTGCTGCTGGGGAATGTTGAAATGTCGTTCTCTGTGTTAAGTTAGCCTTTCCAATATTTGATCATCAGTCCTGCAGAAATACCATTTTATAGATATGAAATAGAATTTAATACTCAGATGATTTCAGGAAACAAAATCTTCTGATTTTAGCAAAATTTTATTTTAACATCTGTTTTAAAGCACTAATAAGAAAGTAGATGCATGTGCATACCTTCAAATTATATATATGGGAAGTATATATATATGACTCCCAAATATATCTGTTATTTGTTGTTTTTACATGCCAAAGCAATTGTTCTTTTTTGAACTTCTTGTTGCTATGGTGTTGTAAATAACTTAATTGAGTGTGTTGAGACTCTTAGTTATCTCTTACTCCCTAATTTTATGATACAGACTGTCTATAATAAATAAGTGAAGCACTCAGATTTACGAGATGTTTCTCTTGCAGCTCAAAGCTCCTACCTTTCAATGAACTAAAGTATCTGCAATGTTTAGGAAAGGGTTATGTCTGCAGCAGGAGCACTAGAAAGAGAAGAAAAGTTATCACAGAAAGGTTGAAGTTGGAAGGTACCTGTGGAGGGTATCTGGTCCAAACCCCTGCTCAAGCAGGGCCACCTGGAGATGGTTGCCAAGGACCACATCCAGACGGCTGTTGAATATCTCCAAGGAGGGAGACTCCCACCTCTCTGGGCAAACTGTACCAGTGCTCAGTGAGCCTCATAATAAAAAACGTGTTTTCTTATGTTCAGACAGAGCCTCCTGTGTTTAAGTTTTCGCCCATTGCCTCCTGTCCTGTCACTGGGCTCCTCTGAAAAGAGGCTGGCTCCACCCTCTTTGCACCCTCCCTTCAGGTATTTATACACATTGATGAAGAAAGGCTTGAGAGAGTTGGGGTTGTTCAGCCTGGAGAAGAGAAGGCTGTAGGGAGACCTTATTGTGGCCTTTCAGTACTTCAAGGGGGCTTATAAGAAAGATGGGGGCAAACAATTTAGCAGGGCCTGTTGTGATAGAACAAGGGGTAATGGCTTTAAACTAAAAGAGGGTAGATTTAGACTATATATAAGGAAGAAATTTTTTACAATGAGGGCGGTGAAACACTGGAACAGGTTGCCCAGAGAGGTGGTAGATGTCTCATCCCTCAAAATTTTCAAGGCAAGGCTGGATGGGGCTCTGAGCAACCTGATCTAGTTGAATATGTCCCTGCTCATTGCAGGGGAGTGTGGACTAGATGACCTTTAAAAATCCCTTACAACCCAAACTTTCTGTGGTTCTAGGGAGATCCCCCAGGCCTTCTCTTCTGCAAGCTAAACAGTCACAAATCTCTCACCCTTTCCTCAAATGTGAGGTACTCCTGTCACTTCATCATCTTCGTGGCCCTTTGCTGGTCTCTCTCCAGTACATCCAGAACTGTACACAGTACTCCAGCTGTGGCCTCACCAGTACTGAATAGAGCTTGACCTTCTGGCAACGCTGTTCTTAATGCAGCCCGGGATACTCTTAGCTGCCTTTGCCGCAGACTTTTATTTAACGTTTCCTTTAGTTATGTAGACTTTCCCTTTTGAATTTGCAATTTTGAAGGTGTTTGAATGGGAGGAGCCTGAGGACTCTGCTTCTCTTGCAGACTTTATTTTTTCTGAGCAGATCCCATACTTCCTTTTTTGTCCTTGTAGAAGGTATACTTGTACTGGGTTCTGAAGCAGAAAAGATCTGAGGCACTATACTGTTTAGAGAGGACTGTTTAGTGTATATAGCATAGGGGTTATAGAAAATAAGGATGTACAAGCATCTCTGACAGGTGCTGCTTATAAGGTTTGTTGGGTCACATAGTTAAGCATGCAAAATCCTTCAGTAGCTACAAAGACAAAATATATAGATTATACAATTATGTAATTTTTCTGCCTTTCCTACTAAAGGTTGCACCAATAAATTATTTAAATGGTTTATCAATTGGAATGACTTGAAACTTATTTACAGTATAGTCTCATATATTTAATCTTACAGGCTCATGAGCGACTGGAAGATTCTAAACTTGAGGCTGTCAGTGACAACAACCTGGAGTTGGTGAATGAAATTCTTGAAGACATCAGTCCCTTAATAAATAAAGATGAAAATATTGCTGAATTGGTTGGAATACTCAAGGAGCCTCATTTTCAGGTGCCACTTTTTTACTGTGTATTCCCAATTTACTGTATCAGTGTCCACATATGGATCTAGGAATAATAATGAAGCAACCTGAACTGTAGCAAACTTGAATATGTAGGAATTTACTCCAAATTAAAGGTAAAGAGAAGCCCTGTGGGGTTAAGAATGAGTAGGATTTTATTCTTTGATATCACCTCAAGAATAGCTGCAGTTGTATAAAATTACACTGGAATTTCTGCTATGAATCTTGGACAAACATTTGCTTCCTGTATGGCTGGAGTTTTCATAGCAGTTCCCTGAAGGCTTCATCCTTAGTATTTCCAGGTGATCTTGGTTCCTGATACTGACCATTCTTAATTTTGGTTCATCTGTTGGCATTCATGCTCATGTGTAAGATGTAGAGTTTGCAGAGTGAATGAACGTGATCCTTCTATGATGCGATCTGTGCTGCAGCTTAAGTTGAGACTCTGCATCCCTCTTACTGTTGCTCTACTTAACATAAATTAAGTTTTGACCTATGCTTGTCAAAAGCAGATGTTTTTCCATAGCTGCTGTTCTATTACCAGCTTCCGTACTGACCTTTGAAGATTAGGGTGTGTAAATTCTTGGTAGATTCTGGACTTTCTAGGCAGGCTTCAGCTGACTTCAGAACTTAGCTGTAGGTATCCTGTAGAAGAACATAAGCAAACTTTTTGCCACAGTATAAATATGCTTCTTTTGTCAGACAGGTGTAGGGTCATAGACATTTTGGGGGTATATGAGTTTAAACACACGTTTTTCCTAAATTTTCACTTACACATTATACAAACATAGCAGTGAGGTGCATTACTGTTTAACATAGATCAATGCTGGAAATGTTGTCTAGCTGTGTTGTGGCCTTTTGGAAGAGGGAACACTTTAAGAGCTCAGTTTTTGATGTAGTAGTTATTCTGAATGCTGGCAGTTCCTCTGCCTCTCTGAAAAGCAGTATGTTGGCCTTCCTTGTACATTTATTTGTCCAGAAGGGCATCATAAATAAGGCCTTTAAGACTTACTGGTGAATAAACCTGCTAATCAGTCTTTGATCCCTTGGCAGAAATTGGTACTGGAAAAGGAGAGGATGAGTTTGGAGGAACTGGTATTTACAATGCAAAAATATTGGAACTGGGGGCCAACTGGTGCAGTGACAGACCTCACAAAGATTCCTTGTGTTAGAGAAACTAAAGCTGACAAGTTGAAGAGGATGAATCAAAAGATTGAAAAGGACTTAAGTGAAGTGCTGGAGTAGGCTGACTTTGAAAGGCACTGTAGCAATGATCTCTAGAGAGAGACGGCAAAGACCAGAGAACAACTGGGCAAAGAATCTTTGTGGTGGAGGCTGGAAATGGCCTGTAGGAGACTGAGATAAAAGAATTTTAATTAGGGTGAATAGCCAATACTAAGGCAAACATAGCATTCATTCCTGTTCAATGATCGTATTTACAGAGAAGCCAACATGATGCTGGTGTCAGTTACTCCTTGGTTCAGGCTTAACTAGCTGGTGAACAAAAATGCCAATATTTATGCAATTTCTTGTACATTTTTTGTTGTTTGATTTACAAAGAGAAGACTTGAAATTGCGTATATGCTACGTTAACTGTACAGTTTTATTCTGATCTTTCGTTAGTGCTGCCTAATTGAATGTTAAAGGTCCATTTAACAAGTATCTCTTCTGTTTTCCTTTCCTGTCCCCAGCAGTAGGCATCTAGTGAAGACTGTAAGGCTAGGACAAGCCAACAGTGATACCTTCCAAAATGTTTTGTGAGGTTTTAGTGATTTGTTGCTCAGACTTCTGAGGGAGAAGTAGTATCATCCAACTGTGGTGGTGTTCTCTTCCATCAGCTTGTTCAGTTGTTTTTTGAACCCACATAAAAATCTGGCATCCACAACATCGCCCATCAGAGTGGAGACTATGCTGGTTTGTTTTTGAGACTGCCTCCTGTCAATTTCACTTAATATCCCCTTGCTCTTGTGTAGGAAGAAAGTGAACAGTTTTTCTTAATCAACTTTTCCATGTTACTTGTGATTTGAGAGACTTCATTGTAAATGTAAATCTGTCTGTCTAAAATAAATAAAAAGAAGGGAAAAAAGCTGTATACAGCTTCCCAGAGTCATTCACAGCAGTCTGGATTTATGAAGTGGGGTAATAATTTCCATTGCATCTCCTACTCATTCCCTAAAAATTCATAGTATTTTCTTTGCCTTTTTAACAGATGGTGGATAGGATAGGATAGGATAGGATAGGATAGGATAGGATAGTTGGGAGGGACCTACAACAATCATCTCGTCCAACCACCTGACCGTTTCATAGCTGACCAAAAATTAAAGCATATTAAGGGCATTGCCCAAATGCCTGTTAAACTGCCAGGCATGGGGCATCAACCAACTCCCTAGGTGGTCCAGTGTTTTGACTACCCTCTCAGTAAAGAAGAGGTACCTCTACACCTAGTAAACATAGAGGTAGGTTGGGGTTTTTTTGTTTGCTTTGGTTTTGTATTATTTACACCTCTGAGATACCACTTTTGAGTGTGTCAGATAATATGTTAAATTAGGATTGTATTTTCCTTTCCAGTCTGTGTTGATTTCATTTCACTCTGTTGCTCATGAGGTTTGCCTGCAGGTTACAATCAGTTGTTTTACTCCTTGAATAGTATAGCAGCATCAGCAAACCCTGTCATTTCACTTCTTACCCCCATCTCCTATATCACTTATCTGACACATCAGTGTACTGGCAAGTGTAGAACTGAGCCCAGATGCCTGTGGGGAATCCCCTAGTAACATGAATTTTGAAAACTAATAATAAAACTATATTCCTGGCCCAAATTTTTCTGTCTTTTAACCAATGTTTTCATCTATGTGAGAGCCTTACTGCTTATCCTAGAGTAGTTTTGTTTCCCTAAAAGACTGTGATAAGAGTCTATCAAGGCCTTTTGGAACTTGATCTCTATTATCAACTGTAACTGCATCGTTGCCATGCTTCGTGACTGTTTCAAGGAAGCATGACTTCCCTTTATTAAAGCATGTTGATGTTTTCCCATGATCTATTTTGTCCAATCATTCTGGTTTTTATGGAAACTTCTGATTTTTTTTAGTATCAACATCAGACTTACTGGTTTGCAGTTTGTTAACTCCTCCTTGGAACCCAGTTTAAAAATTCATGTCATGATTAATGCATGCTATGAACAAGACTGCATGCTGCTTTTTTCACTATACTGTTGGGTGAGTCATGGTAAGAGAAGTAAGCTGTTTCTAGAGCTCCCTAATTCATTTGCTGCAAAACCTGTATGGTGCAGAAAGAATTAGGTAGAAAAAGGGGAGAAAAGACTATTTGATGGTTCGAATAGTTAAATGCTGCCCTGGAGAACCAACCTATCCTTCACTGTGTCAGAATTAGGAGTTAATTTAAAAACAAAACAAAACAAAAAAAAACCCACCAAATGTCTGAAGCAGCTTTAGCTTGTATTTTTTTTTATTTTCTGAGTGCCCTGTTGTGAGGCCTTCAGTCTCATGTGCAGAAACAATGATCAGTTTTGGCTGTGGCATACAGGCAAAAAGCAGCTAGCTACCTGCTTTTTTAAAAGTAGATCTGATGTGATTCAGTTTTGAAGCCTAAAATTAGGGTGTACTTTTTTGACCCTTAATTTTGTGCTTCCATTTCCCACCTGGAGGCATTCAACAAAGACAACCAAAGCAGAAGTAGTAGTATTTTGATTAAGTGTTTTTATTTAACTGCTATTGTAGTTATGACCACTCTAGAACAGCTTCTAGGACAATTTGCAGACCAAAATGTGGTCTGCATATTCTTTCTAAGGCTTGGGGAGGCTATATGTCTCTCTCTCTGAAAAGGAAACGTAAAATTAACTAAATACTCAAGAAATAAGTCCTGTCCTTTCCACCTCGTTTGGTGCAAGGAGGCATATTCCAAATTCTTCAAGAAGGGACCTGTAAGGAAGAAAGGAAAAATACAATTTCATTTGTAATTATAGAAAACATAATTTGCATCCTTTCTCCAGCTCATTGAGTATGTAAACAAGCCACCTTGAGTTGACTCTCTTAAAGTTTCATGGACACTGTTATGCAACAGTTTTAGAGGCTGATTCTGTATTTTACAATTGAATGGCGCAACTTTATCAGAGCGTCATCTTATAGTTGTAACCTACCTCAGCATACAAGTGTCAAATGTGGTATACAAGTCATTGTTGCGATAGCTTATTTGAATGTATCATTTAGTGCTGAAAATACCAAATTACATAATTCATTGCTTGCTCGACTGTCTGTTCCCTCCCTTTTCTCATTTATGAACCTTTATGAGGTTCAATAAAGCCAAGTGCAGGG